CTGCCCGGTCTGGGGTCAGCGTTGCTTGCTTGCTTTTCTCCCATAGCCCCATAGATGAGTGTCGACGCCGTCTTAGCCTTGGCTATCAGATGCGTCGACGTTGTCATCGCCTGTGCCGCGGACCAGTTAGTGGACGCTGATGCTTTGGCGAATCTGATGCGGCAGTAGTACCAAGTCTGCTCCAAGTCACGGGTGCAGTAACTACCCGTTTTTTCAATCTTCCTCCTCATGCTTGTGCGTTGGGATGCACCTTTTGCCTAACCGGTGACTTGAAACTTATTTGGGGATGGAAGTAGCAAACTGATGCAGATAGTTTCATAGTTTTGGCGTACTTAGTGTCAAATCTGGTTTGACTGCCTCAAATTTTAAAAGAGGCAACCACAGAGCTCTTCTTCTGTTTTTTTATTTAATATGTGTCTGATTGACCTGCTTGGTTGTGGCTTATACAACTTTCTATTCTCCATTAACCCTTTGATTTATGTATGTTGATCTTTCTCAGTTCTTTGAACCTCTAACTACTGAAGCTGAAAATGAGGGTCACGATTGTTTGTATGCAACAGTTCAGGGTACGTTTCATGACATGCTTGCATCTTGTTTGAAGCTTCCTATGTGCCTTGCTAACACAACTGAACATTGCTCCTTTTCACTTACAGTAGCAAAGTCCTGGTGCTGCATGAACCGTAACATTCAGGTTAGCAGGGAAAAAAATCAGTGTTTGAGACCACATGGCAGGTTAAATGACGAGCTAAATATTCATCTTACATGTACTAAACCATCCTTATTGATTGCAAACATGTAAACTTTGCACTAGTGTTTTTATACATAATGGGGAAAGTGGGATCCCTTGTCTTCAGGTCATTAATTTTTACCTTGAATTGTTAAAGGAGAGGGGAATAAAAAAACCCAAAAGGTTCTCTAAATGCAGCTTCTTCAATACATTTTCTTGACAGTTGATGGACGGATCCAGTAGGCCTTGGTAGTGCCAAGCGTGTTTGAATCCACTATTGCTAAGCGTGTTTGAAACCACTATTGCTTGAGTCATTCTTCCGGTCTCTCATTGGTACGTGGGCCGTACCCCACATAACATTATGTTTCTTTGATAAATTTACTGATGTGCAGGTCGGACCATTCCGAGAATCAGACCTACCAATATGAGAGGTTAAATGCAAGAAACGAGAATAAGGTGAATACGCTGACAGCTGTTTCACGCTTTCCTTTGATAGTTTTGTGGTATTTTTTCCCATTCACTCCTTGTGAAAATGAAATCTGTTATTTGAACTAAAATTCATATCCGCATCTACCATTATACTTATCATCGTGCAACATTATGGGGACAAATGCAAAAGTTGTTTCTGTTTTTCATCCATCTCTACGTTTTCTAAATAATATTTTTTTTCTTAGCATAAACAACAGAGAAGCCCTCTGCACTGAACAAAAAAATGTATTGAGTTAAAACCTATATCTGCCAAATACAAATAATTGTCACCAAATCATGTACGCTGCTTGGATTTTATTTACCGAGAAGATCGTCATTGTTGTGTATACACTTCGTCATTTTTTTCATTGATATTGGCTGCAAATGTTTGACATGAATTAAGATTTCTAATATGTATTCCATTGATGTTTTTTTAACATTTTCAGGAAGTAGCTTTCTTTGATGACGAAGATACAAAACCCGCTGAATCCGTTGATGTCAAGGTGGCTAATAAACGGCAAATTGGTAACACGATAAGTGATAATAATTTTGCCTACTAACATTTCATCACTATATGTTTTAAAATAGTGACCAATCATAAAATGTAGTAGTAATTTACATTGTTGGATAGATAGGTACTATGAGGGTCGATAGGTATTACAGGTGGTGGTGGATGAAGGGGCAAGTATCACTAGAAATGGAGTTGCACATGAGAACTATTTTCATAGATTTTGTTAAAGTTATTAAAATGTGTATGGTAAGACAAGATGGGACTTTTGAACGACAATAGTGCTAGAGAATGGGTGGATCAAGAGAATGAAAGTGGAGGAAAAGTAAAGGTAGGGAGAAATATGACACTTTGTCTTCTTGTAGGAGGAGGATGGTTACCGATGCTGGACGACTACCAGGGAAGAAAGAAGCGGAATAGAGAGTTGTTATTGCTCATTATAATGACGACCTATTGTTAGACCATGCGTCGCTGCTCCCGCTAAACTGTGCTTCTCTTTTGACAGCAGAGAAGTCTCAAGGTGGAAGGTTGGGGCCGAGAAGCACTAAGTTCTGTGTTGGCTTATATACTGCTAGCTATCAAAGGTATTTTCATATTGGCTGCATTTTGGGGAGCCCGGACTGTCTAAACGGTTGAGGGAACTCACTGGGCGCCCTTTTGAGGTCTGAAAATGTCCATATGTGAGGGAGAAATGATCTTCGGCCTTGGAGACAACCTTAATAATTTGTTTGTTTCATTTATATGCATTGTAGCCCAACCTCTTGTTGTCTTTCTCCTCCACTGCCGCCCCTCCGCATCGCTGCCGCCTCCATCAGACTAATCGAGCGTGCCCTGGTCGAGGGCCCCGAATCATGGGACAATAGCGCAGACCGCCGCAATGGCATGGCGGCGTAACCCCAGGGACAGGCGTGGCGCTATTGCGGCCAGCGAGTAGCGCTGCAAGGGCGTGGAGGCAATTGTGTAACCCCAGCGCAGGGCGTGGCGGCGTTGCATCGAAGATTCGTTCTTGATTTGATTTGGCGGTGTTGTCTTGGAGTGGCGAGGGGGGCTTTCGATTGGGGAGATGGGTCGAACTCCAATCTGGTGCGGTCGCATATGGCCACGTCCGAGTTTTCTTTCGTTTTGCTAGCCTAATCTCGGGTTGAAGGGAAGGGATGCGTTTCACTGACTGTAGATCGTGAAATGGTAGAGAGATAGACTGAGTCTGCTCAGTAACAACAAATAAACCAACTTCATGCACATTTTTGGTCAAGCAGTCTGACAGTTGAGTCGTCCATGGGTAACTGCATCTGATTTTTGTTGGAACTCTGGGTGAATTGCTTTTGCAGATTTGACAATTGAGATGCTAGAGAACACAAGAACCGGGTGCTATCAGCGACTGACGGCTGGCGAGCAGTTGAGGTAGCCAGGAACCATCCTTGAGAAAAGATTGGTGCTGGAATACAGTGGAAGGAGCCTCTGTCGCGGGGATGACGATCAGGTGACTGGTGTGGGAAATGGCAGCTCTCAGTCAATGCAGGATGGCATGATAAAAGAAGTTGTTAGCACCGAGCCACCGACAGATGAGCAGATGGATTTCGTTATCCGGGTGATAGCACAGACGAGCAGATGGATTTCATTATCCGGGTGATAGCAAGGAAGCTGAAGAGCATGATGGACAAGGGACAGACGGAAAAGAGTTGCAGGATGGACAAGGGATGAATGAAAAGGAGTAGGAGGAAGCAAGTTATAACAAATATGGATCTGGTGCATCAGAGAATAACATTGCTGGAACACATATTACTGCAAGCCTTACATCTTCTTTCAAAAAGGTAAAATTTATTAGAGAAGACCAATCTATTGGTTGACAAAGACGATCAAGCCCTTTCCCCTTCTAAAGGAGGTGGTATATTACTGGAAGTCTGTGAATCCCCTTCTAAGCGGGTAAATTAGTGGAAGACTATGTATCATGGGTACATACCTGACATGTCTGGGTCATCTTATTTAAATGTAGGACACAAAATTAACCTAGGAACTAACCTTGTTCCAGCACATCTATATTACTGCTACTCAGTATCTAACCTTTTGTGTGTGGGAAAACTCAGGATGTAAACTGATACTTCGTATGAAGGTAAAATATTTGTGCACTGAATGAACTGAGAATAGAGGTGATATTATTTTTTGTAAAAATCTAAGTTTTTCGATGACTTCTCCCAAAGACACCGCAGCCATCTTAATAGGAAAACTTGATCAGACTTACCCAGAGTATGCTATTCTCTCTCTAACAATAATTAATTTTTGTAAGGAGACATTACCGGGATGTAAGGAGACTTGCCCATGGTATGTTTTCTCTCTCTCTAACAATAATTATCTTGTGTACTACTTAGATAACTTGTTAAATGTTTTGTACTGCTCGATCACACATATCATATTTATGTGGTAAGAAAGGAATTGTTAGCTGAAACAAATAATGTTGTGTGTTGGTGTCATGTAGGTGACGGCAATGGATGTCATGTAGAAACTACATATTGTGTGTTGGATATTTGTTTTCTGAATTTAACTCTTTGTTGATAACTTCTCTTTTTATTTGTGAAGAATTTCTTCACATCCTGTATCATGAGCAAATTATTTTGAGATATATAAATATATTTTCTAGACGTGGAATATATTTCAAGATCTATGATAGAAACTGCTAGAGCATCTTCGACAATTGGATTTTTTCAGTTACTCTTTTTACGGGTTTTGTAAGCTCTGTTGATAGTGATGGTGAGTTAGGCTCATTCGGAGGTAAATACAGAAAACTGAGATAAGATACTATCACTTGCTTTTATGGGTATTGGTTAGGGTTATGGTTTTTATGTGACTGATTAGGAGGGTGCAAATTGGGACAACTTGCTTTCAACCATCTGAATGTTGTGATACATGACTGCGAAAGGATTGGATACACCACATACATCAGGTAAACAACATGTACCCATCTGATTACCACATACATCAGGTAAACAACATGTACCTATCTGATTTCACACTTGCACACATGCCATACGCTATTGTCCCATTTTAAAAATATGTTTCTTCACAACCTGGTTGACACCAATGCGCTCAAGTCACTTTATTTAGTCGAAACACAACTGAAGAGAAGAACATGATTTTTCCATAAGTACAACCCCAAGCATGTATATTAATGACTGGCGTTATTGAAATTATTTACATAGAAGATGGGCAACTATCTTATAATCAGTATCTAATTTTCTTGATTTATAATTTATCTTATTAATCTCTGTGGTCGAGCTTCTAGCCCCCCCCTTCTTTCTCCGGATGAAAGTCTTGCCTTTTGGTAGGACGACGGAGGCGCTCTCGCGTCTCGGTCCTCCCTCGAGGCGCCGTTCAAGGGGTGGTTGGGGGCTGTGGTCCTGGTGCGTGCTGGTGGGTGGCGGCGGTGCTCGGCTCCTCCCCTCATTCCCGGTGTTGGTGGTGGCGTGTTGGTCCTTTCACAACTTTCAGCAGCTCCTCGCCTTGTTTGCTGATTGGTTGCCGGTGGTGGGGGTCCGCCTGTTGGAACGGTCTGGACGAAGGGGAGATAGTTGTCTTCCCTCCGGCAGTGGCCCGAGGCGGCGGGTGGCAGAGTCAATGTTTTCGTTCAAGCTGTCTGGATCTTCACATCCACGCCAATTGATGTCGTCAGGTGGCTTCGGCCCTGCTGTTCTGGCTGGGCGAGACCTCCGGCAGCTTGATCGCAATTTCTCCTGGTGCTTTGTTCGTGCTGCCCCTGGGCGTAGTGAATTTGGCTTGTAATTTTTCAGTTTTTGGCAAGTCTTTGCCTTTGTAATCAGCACCACAGTATCCTAGCTGGTTGATGACTTTATTAACTTGAAGTCAGACCTCCGTGCCTTTTCTCTACAAAAAAATTCCCTCACATTCCATTCTTAAGTAATAATAAATTTCTTGAGGTCATCACTCAGTTGCAGAAAGACATTGAGCTTCTGCAGGTGTGGGTTTTACACCTTGTCAGCAGTACTTTTAGTATGGTTCTGCATTACTTGACTACATTTTTTTTACAAAACCACCTGTTTAATTTAGCATTAGTAAGGTAACCATGTATTCCTGGCGGGCAAAGATCAGCCATTTGATAAATGTGTAGTAGTGCTTGATTGAATGTAGAGCATGCGTACTCACGGATTTGTCTTTTTCTTTTGTGTTACCTAGGATAATGATAGGCTTCTCCTTCAACAAAGTGTGACTAATTTTCTTTTGTCTAATCTAAATAGGAGGGAATTTAACCATTATTCAAGCAATTCTTGGTAAGGTGAACACTTAGTATACAATTCTATTTGCTTGTCAACATGCACCATATTTGAGGACATATTTGATAGTATTCCAATATGGTCGAAACTGTGTTACTTCTAAGAATTGAATAGTTTTAGTTGAAATACTATGTAAACATTGAATAACAATGTTGGACAGGACCATCTACTTATTCGAAAGTATGTCTTTTGTGGCTTAAGCATAATATGCCAAAATTCACCGAGTTTTATACAACAATACGGGTATATATATGCGACTAGAACAAAAATTAAAAGGCCTATAGCAACGCCCGGGCATTCTACTTGTACTTATTAGTAACCGTCTGCGATGAGTTTGACAGGATAAACAGAGATAACAAATTAATATGAGCGAACGGAAACAGAGATATGTACAGTCTGCTTACTTTAGTCCTTCTTCTTGTTGTTGTTGTTGGATGGCCCCATGACATCGTCTTGGTGAGGATGCTTCTTGCCGCTGACGGTTGGCTTTTCATCATCGCCGTCGTCGTCATCATCGTTGTTGTTGTCGTCGTCCTTCTCCTCCTTGTTCGACCATTCCTCCTTCTCATCATCGTCGTCCTCTTCTCTGTCCTTCGACGGCTCCTCGTCCGTCTGGTTGTCGTCTGACGACTCCGGAGGCGGCGTCCCTTCCATGATCTGGGTATAATCGAGGTCTGGGCTTGACGCCGGACTCATGGAAGACGAGCGGGATGATTCCGATGTTGACCTATCATCGGGCGCCAGACTGCTGGTGTAGGATCGAAAGTATGTCTAGAGAGGGGGTGATTAGACTACTTGATCAAATAAAAATCTAGCCTTTTTCCAATTTTAAGTCTTGGCAGATTTTAGCAACTTATCACAAGTCAAGCAATCAACCTACACATGCAATTCTAAGAGTATAGCAACGAAATGTAAATCATTGCATATGAAGGTAAAGGGGAGGAGTTTGGAGGGAGCAAACGCAGTGTAGACACGGAGATTTTTGGCATGGTTCCGATAGATGGTGCTATCGTACATCCACGTTGATGGAGACTTCAACCCACGAAGGGTCACGGCTGCGCGAGTCCACGAAGAGGTCCACCCACGAAGGGTCCACGAAGAAGCAACCTGTTCTACCCCACCATGGCCATCACCCACGAAGGACTTGCCTCATTTGGGTATATCTTCATGAAGTAGGCGATCTCCTTACCCTTACAAACTCCTTGGTTCAACTCCACAATCTTGATGGAGCCTCCCAAGTGACACCTAACCAATCCAGGAGACACCACTCTCCAAAAGGTAATAGATAGTGTGTTGATGATGAATTCCTTGTTCTTTTGCTTCAAATGATAGTCTCCCCAACACTCAACTCTCTCTCATAGATTTGGATTTTGTGGAAAGATGATTTGAGTGGAAAGCAACTTGGGGAAGGCTAGAGATCAAGATTCTTGTGGTTGGATTGGAATATCTTGGTCTCAACACATGAGTACGTGGTTCTCTCTCAGAAAATCAATGTTGAAAGTGTAGGCACGTTCTGATGGCTCTCTCCACGAATGGAGGATGGGTGGAGGGGTATATACAGCCTTCACACAAAATCTATTCGTTACACACAATTTACCAAATTCGGTGGGACCGAATACTGAAACTCGGTGAGACCGATTTAGTTCAAAATGTGAACGTTAGGCTTTTCGGTGGGACTGACATGTCAACTCTGTGGGACCGATTGTGTTAGGGTTAGGGCATAACGTAATCTCGGTGAGACCTATCACATGAACTCGGTGAGACCGATTTCTGTAATAGGCAAACAGAGAGTTGGTCAGGCAAACTCGATGGGACCGATCGCTCATTTCGGTGAGACCGAAACATTACGAAAAGGAAACAGAGAGTTTGCATTGCGAAATCGGTGGGACCGATCGCTCATCTCGGTTAGATCGAAACGTTACGAAGGGACATAGAGAGTTTGCAATCCCATCTCGGTGAGACCGAGATCCCTATCGCTGAGACCGGACTGATTAGGGTTTCTGGCTATGGCTATGTCAAATGAACTCGGTGGCGCCGGATAGATCAAATTGGTGGGGCCGAGTTTGACTTTTGGTTTGGGACATATGTGGATATGAGAAAGTGGTTGAGGGCTTTTGGAGCATATCACTAAGCATTTTGAGCAAGCAAGCCATTAAGCAACACCTCATCCCCTTTTAATAGTATTGGCTTTTCCTATGGACTCAATGTGATCTTGGATCACTAAAATGAAAATGTAGAGTCTTGAGCTTGAGCCAATATGTGTCCTTAGCATTTTGAGGGGTCCACATCTCTAGTCCATGCCATGCCAGTCAGTGAACTTTCTGAAATGATTATCTTGAAAGAATATTAGTCCAATGAGCTATATGTTGTTAAGAATTACCAAAACCACCCAGGGATTAGTTGCACTTTCAATCTCCTTTTTGGTAATTGATGACAATATATAGATCAAAGCTTCGACAAATGATAATAAGAATGAAATATATCGTCGCTTTGAGAAGTATGTGATAAGAAAGAGCTCCCCCTAAATTTGTGCATTATTTAGAATTTGCTTTTGAATGCAAATGCACAATCGATTAGGATCATGAGTTACTCTTCCCTGTCACATACATCTTGGTGGAGCGCTCAAAATGATAGTATATGAAATATGCACTCATCACCAAGGCGAGATGTGAATGATCATACATGAGAGATAGATAATATCATCATCCAAGCACAAGCATTAATGTATGATATGATCAAACACATGACCAGACAAGTATCTCACACACACATAAAGTATCATCCAAGCAAATAAGTAGCAAAAGAGATAGCAAAATGAATCAAAGCTCTCTCTCTCTCTCTCGAAGCCTATGACCTATACACTTTCTCCCCCTTTGGCAACAAGTTACCAAAAAGCTTGAAAATGCATAGTGCTATGCGGCTCTCTAAACTTGATCTTTGGGAGGCGGTGTGGAGAGGACTCCGGCAACAAATGCACCTGTAGAGGTAGTAGGAGCTAGTGGAGTTGCAACCGGAGGGGCAACTGAAGTTGTGGCTGCAGGTGCAGAAGTAGTAGCTCTAGTGTCTATCACTGGCACTGCTGCAGATCTCTGTGCCCTAGGCACTCTCTGAAAAGCTTCAGTGATAGCTTTCCCTTTCCTCTCTTCAACTTCATCCTAGAGCTACTCAACAGCTGTTTGCATTTCTGTGACCTTCAAGTCTAGATCATAAAACTTCGTTTCAATGATCCTTTCAGGACTCTCTTGATTATGAGTTAGGGTGGCAAATCCTTTCTCAATCCTCAAAGTGGCTTGAATAAGATATCCAGATTGATCTTGTTTTGACTTGAGAAAAACTTGTGAAGCCTCTTCAGCACTTGGCATCTTGGCTGCCTTCTCTACTCTTTCCTTCTCCCTCTTCTCTTGAGCCTCCGATGATGTAGGATCTTCATCATCCATGACAACTATGTTGTCCTCACGATCATGCCTCAAGGGAAGGTGCTCTTTGTCCAAGAGATACATGCCTTTGCCCATCTTGGAGTTAATGAGCATCTCAATGTGTGGAGCATACCCACATGATCTCTTTTGGTCGGCAGCTGTCCTCTTGATTGTCTCTACAATTAGTGTCATCACCTTAAACTTTTATGGCACATCAAACATATGCAGGAAATTTATGGAATGTCCTCTTATCATTTTGTGATCACCATACATGGGAAACAATGTGTGCCTGAGGATGGTATTGATTGTAGGCAAACCTGACATGAGATAATAGACAGAGCCAAACTTGTGATGTTCCAAAGCTGCATCTGGAATCTCCTTGTACATATGTGCCATGGAGTTATGTCCCTTCCTTGGCTTGGCATACACATCAGTGTCATCCTCATGCTCTTTAGGGGCATTGATCAGCTTGGCCCACTCAGCAACTGTTGACCGATACCTTGTACCTTCAGACATCCAAACAATCCTTCCATCTAGGTAGAAGTGAGCTGTTGAATAAAACTGCATAATGAGCTCATCATTCCACTTGGTCAATTTCTGGCCCACAAAGGTGTCTACTCCATTAAGTCCGAAACTTTCATGCACTCCAGGGAAGTGGTCTTCATTGTTGTCGATGTACTTTCAATCAACCCACTTCATGTCACACACTATGGGTTTCTTATCCAAAAGGACTGTCTCATAGAAGTCTTGTTGTTCCTTAGTGTGCAACCTGTAATCTACAACAATTCTTCTTCTTGAGGCATAAGGATTTGACTGTCTCCACAGTCCGAGACCTGCATCCTTCCTTATCTTCATGTTTTCAGCCATTAGATGTGTATCATCGTGATCAGGGATCTTGGGCTTTAACTTTCTGAGCACTTGGGCTTTAACTTTCTGAGCACTTGGGCTCCATCTTCTTCTTCTACTTCAGGCACTGGGGCCTTATTCTTCTCTGCAACTAGTATATTTCTGGTGGATCTCTTGGATGCAGACTTGGTGGCTGGAGCAGTAGCTTTGGGGGCAGTCTTGGGCTTTG